TATCACATAGGTTTTTTGCTTTCATTTCTAAGAGAGCAAGAACTGTTATTTATTCTCTGCAGTTCTAGATTTTAATAATCTAGAACTGCAGAGAATAAAACATCTTCTCAGCATGCTGCCCAGGTTCTTCATATGTACTGTGAAATTGATTCCTGCCTTCTCCTTGCATTGCTACAGACACATAATTACTAGTCAACATGCCCAGTGAGTGCTTCCAGTTGATGTTATAAAGAGCACGATCCCTTCCTAAATATCATCACAGCAATGTTAGGTAAGAATCAATGCTGGTTCATGTACACTTCCTAGGACACCAATCTGGAATACAACCTGGAGTTCAAATCCTACTATAGTGGGACTGGAAATCTATTGTACGCAGTGTCAAAACAAACCTTGAGTTGTTAAATTCCCTGGCAATGAGAGAGGAAGAACATCCCCATTTCTATGATCAGTTCAGTGTCCCCAGTAAGTTTGAGTGCAATATGTTAACTTATGGAGATGGAAAAGTAGACCTGTTTTCTGCTCTGACCAAACAACTCAAGACCTTGAAGCTTCAGATTTCAAAAACCACAGAGTCACTTTCCTCTGAGTCACTTTCATTATGAGATAAGAAGAACATATTTATCTTTTACTTTTGTAGTTGGAGTTGCATAAATTAAAATTTGGGGTCATCCCAAAGTTTATATAAACTCTCTGGCAATCTTAAATATAAAGACTTATTTAAAAATTCCCTTGATTTTCTGTGCACTATCTAGAGCACTCATTGTGAGAGGAGAGCTTCTCTACTGATGCCTTCTAATATTACTATACCAAGGAGAATAATGTACTTGAATAAAATGGAAAGAGAATTGAAATTAAATATTTTGTTCCAAAACTTCCCCAAACCTTGACTTAGAATTGGAAAATAACTACTGACACAAAGGTAAAATTGTTTTCTTTTGGTTGGTCTAATCTGAAAATAGTAACCAGTGAACCATATTATTACTGATGCCATTGAAGCTAACATAAACAAAACCTTATGTATTACCCATATGTCCCACATACAATCCATCTAACCTCTTGTAGCATCTCTTTCTTCATTTGCAAAATATATTCTAAGTCCATCTACTTTTCATCTCTAATGACAGCAAATTAACCCAAATCTCTGGTATCCTTCAGAGAGTTATTGCAAGTGCTTCTTTAAATAAATGTATTTTTAAGTGTAATATTAATTCACATAGAAAATGTTAACAAAACATATAGTCAGATAAATATACATTTATTATATTATATACATAAATAACTCCAATCCATCAAGAAATAGAACACTATGAGATTCTCAGAAGACGCCCCAAATATTTTGTCTTGCTTTTTTTCAAAGTCATTTGGCTTGTTTTAAGTTGGACTATGACAAATAATTCTTCGTTAAACATTCTATGCAAGTCTTTTGTGCATATACATGTTTTCCTGTGTATTTCTACACCTAGAAGCAGGATTGTTGGGCTGAAAGGTTTGGATTGTTTCCCTTTAGCAGATACGTCAGTTTTCCAAAGTGGCTGTAACAACTTATACTTTTATCATTGATTTTTGGAGAATTATAGTTGATCTACTCCCTTGCCCACACTCAATGGTTTAAATGTAAAGTTTACTTGTTCTGTTTGTAAAAGCAATTTTTTATCCAATTAATAATGTTGTTGAGCAACTTTTCATTTGCTTATTGGCCATTTGAATTTATCATCTATTAGTTATGAAGCACATGTTCAGGTCACTTACCATTGTTTGAAAGAGGAGATCATAATTCTTTACGAAGTATTCAGCATTCTTTTTGTATTCTAGATAGAACCTTTGAGACTTTAATGTACTACAAATACCTCATCTAATACCGTGGTGTGCCTTTGGGCTTGTCATCGATGCACTTTGTAGACAATCTTAACTCTAACACAGTTTAATTTATTAATATTTTCTGCATGGGAGAAGCAGAAGACTTTCTTATGTTTTGAGTTAAACTTAAGAAAACCTTGCCTGAACTACAGTGATTAAGATATCCTTCTCAATTCAGATTCTTTTTTTATCAGACTTTTTGCATCTTTAACATAATATCACATTAGTAACTCTGACCACTTTCCCTCCTCCCCAGTCCATTCTTTTCCTATGATGCCATGGCTACTGTACACCAAAGTGTCTAGTACATTACTTAGCATTTGATAGGCATCAAATAGTTGTGAATAAAATGATTAATGAATGAAAACTACATTCCTTCTACTAACATTTTTTATGAAAGGAAAAATATTAAAAACCTCTAGTTACCCACTTTATCTCAGAGTACTTAGAATATATTAGATGTTTGCTTAATACATTTGATGAATTAAACTGGAGTTAATTACAATACTGATGTAAAAGAAAAAGATAAATTAATGTGAAGTATAAACATGGGAATATTTAAACAGAAAACCAGAAAAAGATGAATTAAAACAGTAAGGACATTATTCAGAGGAAGACAATGGAATAGAAATATAACATGAAATTAATTACTTATGTTCTTAAATAAGATGACAAAATAATTTAAAAAATAAATATAAATATTTAAAATATCATTGAAGAAAATAGCCTGGAACTGAAGAAGACCAAATTATACTTAGCATAAATGTTTTCCATAGTCTAGGCAAAATTAATGATAAAAGAATTTAATTAAACTCTTAGAAAAAAGACACATTTGAATTTCAAAAGAAGAGAACAAACTATGGACTTATAGCAGAAGATAAACTAGGAGTTTTTAACTAGAAAACAAAAATCAGATTTGCTTAATATGTCTTTGCAACCTTAAATGCTACATAACAATAATAATCAACACTAGATAATTTTGGGGAGAAAACATCCTAACCCATGAATTGTGTATAGGCATTATATTCACCAGCTTTCTATTGCTGTGATAAAATATCTGAGACAATCAACTTGTAAGAAGCAAGGTTTATTTTAGCTCACAGTTTCAGAGGTTTCAGTTCAATGGTCACTTATCCCCTTTGCTTTGGAGCCTGTGGCAAGGTAACATCATGGCTGAAGCATATAGCTTAGAATGTTGCTTACCTCACAGTGACTAGGAAGTAAAACAGACAGTGAGAGAGGAGTGTCCAGAGTCACAACATTTCTTCAAGGGCACACCTCCAGTGACCTGACTTCCTTCCACTAGGTGACACCCTCTTAAGGGTGGCACCCATTTATAACAGCAGCAACTTGACCTCCAAACCTTCAACACAGAAGCCTTTTTGGGGATACTTAAGATCCCAATAATAACAATGGCATTATGCTGTTCTTCCGAGACAAAAATGGAAAGATACCTTCATAAATGTATATAATTAGAAAATATACAAACCCTGTGTTCTTTCTGAAAGTAAAATTTGGAAAAAATTTACTATTTATAAAATATGAAATATATCAAGATTAAGAACTGATGAACTGAAAAGCTGTAGTATAAAATTTTAACAGCATTTACTGAAACCATTTAAGCAGTTATGCAACTGTTATAAAACTAAATAATTTTTGAAAAGAAACTTCAAGATCTGAAAGCATCATTTAATGAAAATAATTGCAATGTAAAATTCAAGATTTGAAATAAAAAGTAAAGTTAAAAATGGTGAGAAGGAAGACATTAAAGAAAAAAAAGAGGAACAAATGCCATACTCTATTACAGTTTTATTCTTCTCTGATAACTAAACAAATTTCTTGTGAAAGATTTTGTAAATGAAATATTTCAAACTTTCAGAAGAGCATCTTAAAGGAAAACATATTCAATGATACTTGGTAAAGCTTGGTAAGGAAGACTTTATCAAGGAACATTGTGTAGGTATAGGGCTCACAACAGTGGGATTTTGCAGTGGTAGAAAGAGCTTGGTTGTAACTCTGAATACAGGATGGACAAGTTGGAATTTATAGGCAAGGAACAAGGTGGGAATAAACAGATGGACAATGACTAAGAGGAAACATCAAAGGTAAAGAAGTTTCTGGCTAAACCAACATAAGAAAATTATTGTTGAAGACAACCCAGGGAAATTGGGCATCACCTGGGGAATAATGGAGGACAAGGAGCCCAGTCAGGCCATCATGGGTGATGAGATATTAAAGGTAAGGGGTTCTTTCTAAATTGACTTGGCTGATGTCTTTGCTAAAACTGGATTTTACAAGGTAGTACACAAATGGGCTTAAGAGAAGGTTCAGAAGCCTGACTTGAGTTTGGTCAAGCAGAGAGTCTTTGCCATTCCTAACACCAAGATTGAACACACTTTGCCATATTTTCTTCCTATTTCTTTCTCTTTCCCCTTATTGGAATAAATTAAGAGCAGGGGTTATAGCTCAGTGACACAGCATGTGCATACTCTTCAGGAGGCCCTGGCTATGATCCCTAGCACCAAAATCAACAACGAACAAAGCCAACAAAAACGAAATAAAACATTCAAAGACACAGCTGTCATGTCACTTTGTACCCCTCCTCCATGCCGTTTGCTCACCTTCCTCTCTAATTTCCACCACAACCCTGAAATGGATCATGCCTGTTGTTTCCATGGTTACCAAATATGTTTTCATCATTTAGTAAAGTAGAAAACTGATTTATGTGCTTTAAGATTCTACAGAATGTATCATGATTTACTTATCATTTTAAAACAATATTGAATGGAAAATGCAAATTACAGAATTATGGAAATCCTATGGCACTTAAAATGTAAGAACTTGATTTATCTGTAGTAACGTGAATGAATCTTAAAAACATATTATGCAGTATAAACATTGGTTTTGTAATAATCTAGTGTTGACATATATAAATCAAATTTAATAACTCTTGCAGCTGTGTGGTTTGATGGCATATAAATATACAATTTATCCATTTTTGATTGAAGGGTATTTAGCTTGTTTCCAGCTATTTCCTATTATAAGTAATGATATAATGGACAACTTTGTACTTGTCTCTGTGCACTTGTATAAAAGACTCTCTAGGGTATATGCTGAGTGGAAGAAATGCTGGCTTATTGATTAGATACATTTTCAACTGCTACAGGTATTTTCAAATTATGTTCGAACTTACATCATTTTATATCAGCAAAATATAAGATATTTACTCACACCCTTAAAATTCTTTGTGTTGTTAGACTTTTAGAATTACTGAAGACATTTCCCTCCCTGATAATGAGTTTGCACATCTTTTTATATATTTAATTAGCATGAATGTTTATTCCTATATAATTCATATATATATATATATATATATATATATATATGAACAAGCTATGCACATTCACATGTTCAGATATATGAATTTAGGTGTGTGTTTTTTCATGTTGGATATAGGAGTTTTTCTCCAAATTTATCCATTACATATTTTGAAAATATTTTTCTGCTCTCCATGTTCTGTCTTCTCACTGATCATTTCTATTAAGTCTAATTTTTTTTTGTCAAAAATCTTCATTATAATTTGTGCTTTTTTCTTGTTTGGTAAATTATCTATAACCTAAAATCATAGATATGCTCTATATTTTCTTCTAGATGATTTGGGATTTACATATTTAGGTATTTAAATAGGGAGACCATAGAATTATACCTTAATAATAAGAAACAGAAAAGAAGCACCCTTAGAATTATTTGTTAGTATAAATGGAATTGAACCATGAAACGTGATAATGATGATATTGAGTTAAATAACACTTTTGACTATTGACACATGATTTTTCCTCTTTGCTAATCACTATCAAATGGGTCTTAGAAATATTTAATCATTTAAACATCTATTTTCTAAATCAAACTAAATGTCCTATAAGATTATTCAACTTTAATATAAATTTGTCTTGTAAAAGTTCATTGTATTTTATTCAAAGTCATTTGGAAATTTTTAAAACAATGTTTTACATAAGGAATGCAAAACCAATTCATTTTTTGAGAATCTGCATAAACTGAAACTATTGAAAACTGCTTGCAAACAATTCTTTATAAAATCTTCAGGACCACAGCAAATGAATCCTCAAATCACACACAAAATTTAATTTGACAGATCTCTAATGATCTCAATTTATATGATGAATGTTTGGCTCTCCCTAGAAGGTGATACCATTTTCACACATACACACAAAACCTAATAAACCTTTCTTATTTTATGTTCAAAGGGAAATTACATAATTTGGGATTGCTTGTCTTTGAAGGTTGGGCAAAAATTATACTGCACAATGGTCTAGATATGCTAGACTTTAAAATTTGCCTGTTTGTTTTATGGTCTTATTCTTTAAAAATTTAACTTTTTATAATTTTCATTAAAATAATAATTGTACACATCTATGAGGTACAGAGTGATGTTTTAATACATTTATAAAATATTTAATGATTAAATCAGAGTGATTAGCATTTTCATCTTATCATTTTTGATGTTTGAAGACTTCAGGTTTCTCTCTTCTCTCTTTTATAGTAGCCTTCTATAAATTATAATCAGTCCAATGTGCTGTAGAACATTAAAGCTTATTCCTTCTAACTGTAGTTTTGTGCCTATTATTCAACCTCAATACATGCCTTTTTTTCCTAGTTTGTGATTACTGATTTTATTTAATAATTTCATACCAAATCATTTTTTTCTCCTTCAGTTTGCTCAATTGATTCCTATATTTTCCTAGGAAATATATTTTTTCTGAAATTTAATTTGAAATCCAAAATTTTAAATTTACTGACATAATATTATTGATTTTATTCTAATATTTTAAAAACTACTATATATAATTACATTCCTGTTTTATAAATATTGTTTGTGTTTTCTGATTTTTAATAGGCTTTTTATGATTTATCTGCTGTAATAATCAGTGCATGTAATCAATTTTTAAAATTCTTTTCATCTTCTTTATGTACAAGTCATTAATTAGCAATGTTTGAGTTTGTAAATTTATGCAAAGTTTTCTAGTTTATATTTTTCATATTGATTTCAACACCATCGAATGCACACTGTAAACTATAGGTGCCAATAATAGAAACAACAGTTTTAAAATAGATTTGCTCAATTCTGTCCTTCTGGATGTATAAGTTTTTTCAAGTTGACCTATGAACCACGCTGCATGGCCTCACAGAGACCAGATCACTCAGATTCTGTTTGAGAAATAGGAGTTATGTTACATAATGGAATGATATTCATGACATTTATATTACATGTCTTTGCACTCAAAGGATTTTTAAAAAGATTAATTCTACCAGGTAAGATCACTTTTCCCTTTCCTTTAGCCATCTTGAACTTCAGTCTGACCCAGTGACCTTTCTCTGAGGATCTCTTTAGTGTGACAGGATATCTGTATTTCCTTGTCAAAGCACAGACCACAGAAATGTTCAGTTCTTTAGCAATATTTGAACTTTAGACCAGTTTCATATTTGGGCCAATACAACAAATTTCTCCAGCTGCATAAATACTCCTCCAAACCAGCCTTGACCCAACCTTTGTTTATTCCTTTCTTTCCCTCAAGATTGTCTGCCTGTTTGCTACAATTTTTTTTTCATTGTTTTGTGTGTACCAGGCTTTATGGTAGACAGAGGGAATACAGCAGGAAACAGGAAAGTATGAATGCTGCTCTCTGCTCTTAAGAAGCTTCAGTCTAGGCAAGAAAGCAGATCACACAAGCACACATACACACCACACACACGCCTGGCCAACACAAATTGGCTATGATTTAGCATTGCAATAAATGTGATGGAGACAGTAGAGAAGACATGGTGACCCTTCTAAGGGGACAGGGCAAAAGAAACTAACAATGATGCCTCGAATTTTTGAAATCACCTGAATCAGAAGAATCTGTTAATGCTTTGTCATTTTCTGCAAGCACAGATTTATGAAAGCATATTCTGGAATCTGTTGAATTCACATTCTGTTTCCACTTTTTATCTACTTACATCGGGTATATTTCTTAACCTCTGTAAATGGGTTACTCCATAAAAACAGCAAATAATAATGACACCCACTTCATAAGATAAAATGCAATAATCCAAGTGAGGTAATAAATTATTGGTTCATAGTAAACACTCAGTAAATGTTGGCTTCTATCTGGTAAATTCTATTCTTTCTACTCTATCATTTTGCAAACTCCCATAGCAGCTCTCGAATTTCTTGTGTGTGAACTATTTCTCAACTACTCTTTTCCCTTTGCTTACCTCCATGTATAAAAGTCCCTGACAAGATGGTTTGTCCCCAGGTGGGCAAGGCCAGGAGGAATCCATGGACCCAAATGTGGTGCCATAATTACCTGAAGTTTTACCAGAATCTTTTGTTTGCCTGTGGAAAATTTTTTACTTTTATTACTGATTGATTCAGTGCTTCTTAACTCTCTCTGCATACTATAATAACTTGAAGGGTTTTAAAATATTACAAACATCAATCCTTAGTAGATCAATAAATTCAGAAGCCTATGGGTCAGGCTTCAGTCTTTGTATTTTTTAAAAGTTACCTATGTAATTCTAACCTGCATCTGAGATTTTAAACAAATTATTACATTACACACAGTTTTTATGGACATTAGTCAGAGAAGACCAAATATACACCTACCATAACAATAAACATAAAATCTATTAGTGGGGTTATAAAAACCTTTCATCTTGAAGACAATGTTTCAAATAGAGCTACTTGTAAAATAAAGATAAAACAAATGAACAAACCCCACAACATGATAGCATTTAACATTTGAAGAATTCACTTTATTTTGAAAAGCAAAAAAGAGTAGGGATGGTGATTTGAATTTCAGGGGACTTAGAGCTTAATATACAGTAGTTTATGTGTCAAATCAAAAACAAAATAATAAAAATTCTAGCAAATTAGAATTTGAAGCAGAAAAATCATTAAATGGAACACAGAATGTAATTTTACCTTAGTAAAAGTCATAATCCCCCATGATGATATAACAATTATGAGTCACAGTTTCAAAATACAGAAGGCAAAAGATATGTGGAATATGAGAGTAATTTACAGAAAGAAAATCACTGTAGGAGATTTTAAAAACATCTTTTTTTCTCTTGACAGATCAAGGATATTGAAAAGAAATGACAGAGTATCTGAGTAATACTGTTACTAATGTTGAGTTAATAAATATATATTAGTCATATACATGTGCCAGAAGTAT